CCGAAGTCGTAATCCTACAGGTCCTGAGCACCCATATCCAGTTTCTCAACTTCCTCGCGGTCTGCACTTGCTGTTAACTGTCTGTACCGGAGCAGTTAAAGAGGTCTGCTAAAGAACGCATCTCTTCGTAACTTCAGATCAGCGTCTTCCTGCTGGGTCTCCTTGCTGTGTCCGTGCATCGGCGGAGATAGGCGAGTGCGGCGTCCAGTCGGCGGTCACTGCATTTCCTCAAGAAGACGTTGTCGACGAGAATTTTCTCTACACTCCGTGCGATGCGCATCAGCCGCACGATGGTAGCTCGTTTATGAGAAAGCCGGAAGCTGTCGAAACATCGGAATAAAGGAGAAAATCTGCATCGCGTTTAAAGCGATCGCCTTGTTGACGAGATATACGATTTTTATTTCATTGTTTTATACGCTGGTGTTTTGTGATCACCGACAGCAACATTCGTCGCACAAGTTAATAAACAGGATTTGATATGCGTCTAGCGCTAGGGCGCTGACGTTAAAATGCCATGGAGCCGTTGCAGCCATGAACTGCTTAAATGGCTGTAGGCAGTTAAGAGCAACGTGGCAGTGTCATAGGTCATGAAATCTGCTCTTTTAAGTGCAATACGCCGAAGAATCGCAGAGTATTCAACGACGACCAGGACGACTGAGACACGGTCAGTGTAGGACGAGTCAGATGGAAAGGGGAACGGCAGAGGCCAAAAACTTGGATGCTGTCGACCGGCTTCTGAGAACTGAGGGACGGAATGCCGGCGAGGGAGAGGAAGTAGTGGGTACCGTACGCACGTGACACAAGGTTGACATACGAAGGAGACCAGAAAAACAATGGTTTCAAGAACTGGTCAAGTTTTTGCGTCGGCAGCAAAACTGTCACCGTCACCGTAGCCGTTGTCGTTTTCGTTCGAGCGATAATGAAGCAATTACACATAATTACGGACTGCTCTAACCGCTTCGCTTTTCACGGCATTTGTCCACGCAACGCACCTGCCAATTTGAGGCGTTCGCGGTCAGCACTGAATAACGCTGCATCGTCGAGGAGTCGGTCAGCGAAGCCGCGAGGCCGCCACAGCCGTCGCCTCGCCGGATCAACGTGACCACTTCAAAGGGCGATACTCCATCGACCAGTTACTCAGTCACTCATTCACTCATTCAGTCCAGTAATTACCGCGAAACAACGAAGCGGATGCCGTCCAGATTATCGCCGACGATCGACAACGCGCACAGGGCCCGGCGGATTTACAAAGCGCGTGTAATTCTGTTTTCACGATCATAATCAAGACGATTTACG